TTATTGCTCCACTGGTTTGCAAACTCTGTTCCTGGGTTGTTACTGCTGCTGGACTGTTGTTGTGCTGTATTGTTATTACTGCTGCTGATTCTCATCTTCTTTGGTTTCCAATACAAGGTACACGACTGTAATACTAGCTATTGCAAAGCTAATAATGTGAAAAGCATGAATACATATGAAGAATGAAATTTTGAAGTTTTAATATCATTTTTATTTCCTTTTATCGATTGTATTTAAACTATTTCATGTATTACTGAATAATAATTGAAATAAGAAAAAAAATAACATAAGTTAGTCTTTAATGAATCGGTTTGGCAAAACGGGTTAATTCACTAGTTATGAAGGTTTCAAAATTATCAACAGTAGGTTAATCATGAATAAGTAGCTAAATTTAGTTAAGGCATGAATTTGAATTAATTTTCGAAAGTTAGGCATTAAGGCATTTGAGTTCATGCAAGATTAGAAACTTCGTTTAAGTCTAAAAGACTTTCTAAAAAGATTTAGTAATTATGGTAAAAATCTAGTTTCAAATGGTTGTGAATAATTAATCTCAATAGTTTTTTTTATAACAATGCCGAGTTTTAATCTAGCTGTATTTGATTCTTTTGAATATTAGTTGTCAAATTTTTATTTTATTTATAATTTCGAATTTTTTTATTTTTTATAAATAAAATTAATTTTCATCAATATTTGTATTAATCTAGCAATTAGTATGTCATGTTTTCTTAAATAAATAAAATAAAAGCTAGTAATTAATTAGGATTTTCTTTCTTTATTTTAGAGACTAATTTTTATAGAAAAATGTAGTCGCTTTAAGATTTGTCCATTTAAAATAAATGAGATGAGCCTCGCTTAATAAAATGTATAGATTGCGGGGCCCTCAATAAATGTACATTTAATTGCTTAGAATTCGGGAGGAGCCGTTTAGCAAATTTCTCGGCCCTACCCAAAATAATGATACGCTAGTCGCTTTAGGCGCGTATTTAATAATATTATCTTCTTAAACTCGGGTGCGTATTTCATGCAACCCAAATCCAAATCCCAAAACATTGAATAAAAATGTGTTCCGGATTGCGGGAGCATTTCATGTGATGTAATCCAAAGACATGTTTTAAACAATGTTCACATTCTGGTAAAAATAATAATAACAAATAAAAGCGGTAAAAAGATAAAAATTTCACATGAGCTCATAATTGTATAAAAATCATATATTTAAGCCAAATATGACAGTTGAGCGACCGTGCTAGAACCACGGAACTCGAGAATGCCTAACACCTTCTCCCGGGTTAACAGAATTCCTTATCCGGATTTCTGGTGCGCAGACTGTAATACAGAGTCATTCTTTTCCTCGATTCGGGATTAAAATTGGTGACTTGGGACACCCTAAATCTCCCAAGTGGCGACTCTGAAATAAATAAATAAATCCCGTTTCGATTGTCCTTTAATCGGAAAAAACTCCCTTCACCCCTCGCGGGGCGGTAAAAAGGAGGTGTGACACTAACCAACTATGAAGCATTAAAATATTATAAGAGAAATCATGTAGCAGCGCCAAAAATAAGCCCGCGGCCTTTTGTTAAACCATTAGAACAAACTAAACTAAGACTTCAGCAACATACTCAGACTAGAACAGAAAAAGACAGAAACTAAAGCATCACTATGATAACAAAAGAAACTCAGGACTCTGGGGAAGGAACAAGTTCATGGATGAGAGGTAGATGGGGTCAATTCTTTCACAATGGTGGAAATCTTTTGGGCATGATCTTCCCTATACCTTCTTAGCTCTTCCCTAAGCTTCTTGGTTTCTTTCCTCAAATCATCGTTGTCTTCTCAAAGCTTGGCATTCTCCTCAATAACCGACTCCAACCTCTTAGTGAACTCTGTTGCCCTGCTGCTTCCAAGTAGAATAGAAGAACCTGTTGGGCCTCTAGCCTTGATCTCCTCACAACCACACTGCTTGAGCGTAACAACATCCAAGGCATCGTTATGATTTCCATACTTAAGCTCGTGCAAGGCAATGTTGAGCTAATCAAACAACTCAGTCAACATGAAGACATAAGGCATAACATGCTTAGGCTTGGAAGTGTCTGCAGTTCTTGCCATATGTAGAATCATCGGGCTAGGGAGATTGATAGTTCTACCAGTGTCAAGTAGTTCTATCACAACCATGTCTAACAGGGTAGCCTCATGCCTTCTCTCAGACCTATGCAGAATGCATGAATTGACAAAGTGAAACAAGAACTTATGGAAGGGGGTCATATCAGTCTTGTACACCTTCTGGGGAGAATCCAGTTCAAACTTTTGAGAGAACTTCCTTGTGACCACAATTCTTATGTCCACATTATTGTCTATGGCTGGCCACCTTTCTTCAAGTAATTGTCAAAATCTAAATAAGAAATATTCAGAAGCATCCACAGCTCCTCAACATCAAACTCCACCTTAAACCCCCATACCTTACTCTTGACCACCTTTCTATCGAATTGGAAGTTTGCATAGAACTCCAGCACAGTAGGCACACACACATGAGGGAAAGCCTTAACAAACATGTGTTTACATCCCTTTAGCTTAAGTTTTTCAACCATTTGAGCCATCCCTTTATTCATCAGTGTTTGCAATAATCTTTCCATTAAGAATTTTTCTAATCCTGAACTCAATGAGTTTATCAACCATAGCTGTCACACTTTTTCTCTTCTTTCCTCTACTAGCCTTTGCAGATGGGGTAGCAGTTTTTGTAGATTTGAAAACCTTTCTCTTTTGTGTTATTGACCTTTCTGGCAGAGTAGAATTAGACTCATCTTCTCCATCCAACTCAACTATAGGTTCCACTACTGAAATGCGCTTCCTTGACTTCTTGGCACCTATGGACTCCTTAATGATTATTTATCAACAACCTTTCTTTTACTCCTTGTGAGAGGAGTCTTGGCATGAGGAGCCACGTCTTTCGTTGTAGGGATGGCAGAATGTTGCTTTCATAGGAATATTTATGGGTTTCTTCCCTACTTCAGACAAGGGCAAGTTATCTTCATCACTACTAACTTTCTCATCTCTTGTGAAAAGAGTTAACAAGAGCCCAGGTTCTTCAGTCATTTTCTCTCTACTAGCTTCTTCTGAAGGGGCTATGACAATGTTCCCAATAGTCATAGATCCTTCTATTCCCCACCCCTATTCTCATTATCTTCCTCACTTTCTTCATCATCTCCTTCATTCTCGCTTGCCTTTTCTTGATCTCCACCTTCACTCTCAGACTCACCCTCTTCTTCACTGTTCTTTTCTTCTTCTATAGAGTCATCCACTTGTTCATCTATCCTATCTTCTATCTCGCTCTCCTTCTCTTCACCAAAATCTCCCTCATTCTCACTTTTTTCTCTTCATTAGCAATGTCCTGAGTAGGATGTCGCTCATGACTGCCCACTACCACTTATTCTTTTTTACCTATATTATCCCCCTCATCCTCCATCCAACTGAAAGAAAGACCATCAGATGCTCTAAACCATAGGCAAAACAGTAGTAGTATCTGCCCCTTTCTTCAGAGATGCCTCATTCTTTTTCACAGTGGGTTCCTCAACTTGTGGTTTATCACTTGTGAAGGGGACAGTATCTAAGGATGCAACATCTATAGCAAATACCAAAATATCTAATTTTGAGGGAGGGAATTTTACCTAACTTGTAATAACTGGGACTAATTCCGCCTGAACCACAGCTTCCTTAACCACTATATCTACTTTAGCAGCAGCATCAGGCACTACCTTGTCACTCTTAATAGATTTTCTTTGAGTAGCCTTGATCTTGGTTGACTTATTTTTTGAAGTAGGCACAGATGCATTAGTTGTTGGTTTTGAAAGCGAAAGCCCAATAGAGGTGGGGATGGTGAGAGCAGCAGGAACAGGGAATAATGGTGTAGGTATAGTGGAAGATATCATTGGAAAAGGAGTAGGTATGGGTGCGGGTTCACTTGAAGGTTTGATAATTTTCTTTGATTTAGGGTTCATATTCTTAGATTTGGCTTTAGTCTTGGATGTTGATTTTGCTTTAGAAGGGGTTTGGCAAGTTTTAGGCATGGCGATAAGAGAGGAAAATCTATGAAGGGAAAGAGAGAATTATTTCTTGATTCTTGCTTAGGGTTTGAGAGAAATAGTAATGTCTGAGAAACTGATCACAGGGGGTTTTAAAAGGCGTTACTCCTAATTTGGCAGGAAGAGGGAGAGACCAAATTTTAGTTCTAACGGGACTCTAATAATGGTTACTTGCAAACAAAAAACTAACTCCAAAAAAGAGTAAGCTGCAGCAGGCAGACAAGCACATTCCCTTCAACGATACAGTTACTCTTTCAGAAGACTCAGTGCACCCAGCACATTTTCTACAGGATGTTTCCATGAAATCTTCTGTAGTATCCAAAAGCTGGGCAGATCAGTTTGAAATGGAGAAAGATAATCACGCCGATTCAGCGGACAGTTATCGGGCAATTGTTACTACCAGCGTACAAAAAGTCAGTACATGTAAATCTGGGCA